CCAGCAGCACCTCCAGACTCAGCAGCACGCCTCCATCGGCGAGCGAACCACTCACGCAGCTCCTATGGAGAGAGGGGCTCCCGGCGAGACGCAGCAGCAGGAGAAACCCCAGGCTCAGCAGCTCCAGACGCAGCACCCCCAGGCTCAGCAGCTCCCAGCTCAGCACCCCCAGGCTCAGCAGCTCTCGACCCAGCACCCCCAGGCAAAGCACCCCCCGACTCAGCACCCCCAGGCTCCGCACCCTCCGCAGTAGCACCCTCAGGCCCAGCACCCCCAGCAGTAGCACCCCCAGGCTCAGCACCCCCGCGCACAGCACCCCCAGAGTCAGCACCCCCAGGCTCAGCACCCGCAGCAGCACCAGAGTCACCAGTAACCTCGACCGGGTCAACGGCGTCTACCTGGGACACACCTGAGGGGGCAGGAACCTGAGGGGGGAGGGGGTCTACCGGGGGGGGAACCGGCACAAGGAAGTCCAGGGGAGGGGGGAGGGAAGGAGTGCGGTAGGGGAAGAGACGGTAGAAGGGGACTGACTCGTCGAACGTGACGTCCTGGGAGGACAGAACACGACGAGAGGAGGGGTGGTAAAACTGCCACCCTGGGGCGTCAGTGGGGAAGCCAAGGAAGACACAGGGAGCAGCACGAGGGGACAGCTTGTCCGCAGACAAGTCGCGGACAAACGCCCGAGATCCCCAGACACGGAACACAGACGCATCGCCAACCTTCCCCGTCCACAGCAAGGCTGGGGACATCGCAGGCCAAGAGACCCGGGGGTGAAGGTTGAGCTGATGCGCCGTGTACCTCACCGCAAACGGCCACAGAAAATGGGGGGCAGCCGCATGCATCATGGACGTACGAGCGACATCCATGACCATGCCAATGCGGCGCTCAGCAATCCCATTTTGCTGTGGTGAGCCCGGAAGCGTGAAGGTCTGGCGGATCCCCCGTGCACGACAGTAGTCTCGCAGAAGGCGAGAAGAGAACTCTCCGCCTCTGTCCGAGTGCAGACGCAGAACAGGAAAGTCCGAGCCGAAGCTCTTCCTGAGCTGGAGACGAGCCTCGCGGATCCAGTCGATCAGCACCTCAGTGACCGCACCCTTGCTGCGCAAGGGGAGGACTGTGGTGTAACGCGAGTAGTCGTCAACCACCAACAGGAAGTAGCGCTCGTGACCCTGCCCACGGACGGGGGCTGGGCCCCACACATCCATGTGAAGCGTCTGCAGGGGAGCCTCTGTCGGGGGGAAGTGGGAGGAGTGAGGAGTAGCCCGGAGGCGACCCTCGACACAGGGGACACAGGAAGGTCCTGGCCCGGAGGGGAGAGGAGGGAGAGACTGGGGAAGACCAGAGACAAGGACACGGGAAGCCATGCTCCGAAGACGGGGCAAGGAGGGGTGGCCAAGACGGTGGTGCCACAGGAGAGTCTCGTGAGACAGGAGGCGACAAGAACAGGGGGCAGACTCAGGACCTGACCGGGACGCAGCAGCAAGCACCTGACCTGACGCAGCCACCTGACCAGACGCAGGGACAGGAGGAGACTCAACGGTCAGGGTGTAGAGACTCGACCCCGGCCGACGCGAGAACGTGGCCAGGTGTCGGCCTGTGCGTGCCTCCGTGCAGTGGGTCACCCGCTGACTCGCAGGAGTGAACTGGTGAACCCCCACATCCTGCAGGTCCGCGCCACTCACCAAGTTCGTAGAGAACGAGGGAAGGTACAGACCAGACAGGGTGCCCGAAGGGGCAGCCGGACACGGGAGGACAGTGGAGAAGTGAGACAGGACAGGACCCCCAGAGGGGTCAGCAAGGGAGACTGCAACCGGCCGGCCGAGCGGCGTAAGGGTAGTGCGGTCTCGAAAGAAGGAGCGAGAAGCCCCGGAGTCAAGTGTTAAAGTGAGGGAGGACGAGGACGACGCAGTACCTGAGAGCGCAGTCTCACCAGTACCTGAGAGCGCAGACGCACTAGCACCTAGAGCAGCAGCCTCACAAGCACCTAGCGCAGCAGTACCAATGCCCGGGTCGGGCTGGAAACACCGGTAACCCTCATTCTCCTCACTATAAGTCACAGCATACATAGCAGCAAGGATAGCATCAAAATCAAGATCAAAGATCTCTACACCAGCCCTAAGAAGCTCATCCCAGTGAGGGATCTCACTAGCCCCAGGGAACTGCTGACGCCAAGCGTCCGTCAGGCGGCCAAAGCAGCGCTGGGTGGCGTGGGCACCCCCACACTGCTCACCCGCGCGGTCGCCGGAACGAAGAACGTAGGTGCAAGGACCAGTACCCCCACCCCTCTGACGCCCAGCGTACCACTCACGAAGCTGCTGAGGCGGAGGGATGTCCCGCGAGCGCTGCTGCTGCTGCCGCTGCGAGCGCTGGCCACCACCACCGCCGCTACGCTGCTGGGTACCACCCCGACCAGCTCCACCTCCTCCACCACCACCGCCTCCTCCGCTGCCGCCTCCACCGCCTCCACCTCCGCCGCCTCCACCTCCGTCGCTGCCTCCACCACCACCGCTGCCACCACCACCACCGTCTCCGCCGCTGCTGCCACCACCACCACCACCCCCGCCACTAGTCCCGCCGCTACCCCCACTCCCTCCGCCGCCACCGCCGCCACCGCCACCACCCCCTCCAGCTCCACCCGTGCCCTTGCCCCCCTTGCCCTTGCTGGAGCGACGTCTCCCACTAGGGGCAGACGCCGCGCCGACCGACTCAAGACCAAGCAGGTCGGCAGCAGCAGCAGAGGCAACAGAGGGCAGCAAGGGGGAAGGAGAGCACCCCTCAAAGATGGGGGTGCGAGGGTCACCACGAGAAGCACCTACAGCGACTATGCTCTTCTCCGCTGCGAGGAGGGCCTTCTCGAGGAGGTCGACGGTGAGGGTGGTGGGACAGACTGCGAGAAAGTGGTCCCTGACGACGCGAAGGGAGTCAGGGAGGCGCGCGACTACGTAGTAGAGAGCGATGTACATGGGGGGTGGGTTCTTAGCGCAGAACTCAGCAGGAAGGGCGGCGCGGTAGCGAGTGTCACTAGTGCGGAGGTGCGTAATGAGGTCAGCGACAGTGGGAAAGGCAGAGAGGTCAGGAAAGAGGTAGGGAAGCATGAGACGGCTCAGTGCAGCAGTGGCAGGGGAGGAGTAGCGCGCAACTACAGCGTCGTACAAGGTCTGAGCACTCTTGTACTGACTAAAGTGCGCGCGCTCAGAGGTAGGGAGGTGGCGACGCACAGCAAGACGTGCAGCAGCATCGCGGGTGGCCCACTGAGAGCGCACAGTGGGATCAGCATCAGCAGCAGGAGCAGGAGAGGCGCCAGAGGTGAGGTCAAAGAGAGAAAGGCCGTCTGCTCTGTCGCACTGTAAGAACAGCTGCAGGTCGTCTAACCAGACCTCAAAATCAATGGCGCGACCCTCGGCGTCAAAAGCTAGGACACTAGGGGTAGCCATGGCGACGACAGCGAAGCAGTGCAAGCAGTAGGGGAAGAGCACGCAGTGGCAGTGGGACTGTGCTCACCAGGCAGGGCAGGTCGTGCAGCTCTGCAGAAAGGCAGCTCGGCGACCGGGCGTCTCGGGTGCACAGCGGCTCGGCTGCAGGGCGGCTCGGGTGCAGGGCGGCTCGGCTCCCGGGCGGCTCGGCGGCAGGGCGGCTCGGGGGCAGGGCGGCTCGGCTCCCGGGCGGCTCGGCGACAGGGCGGCTCGAGCGTAGGGCGGCTCGGCTCCCGGGCGGCTCGGCTGCACAGCTGCCCGACTGCTGCAGGTGGGGCGGCAGGGCCGCGCGAGGGCCGGCGGCGGGGCTGCTTGAGAGCCGGGGCAGGGGCCGCGTGAGAGCCGGGGCGGGGCCGCTTCAGAGCTGGCGGCAGGGCCGCAAGAGAGCCGGCGGTGGGGCCGCTTGAGAGCCGAGGCAGGGGCCGCGTCAGGGCCGGCGGCGGGGCCATAAGAGAGCCGGGGCGGGGCCGCAAGAGAGCCGGCGGCGGGGCCGCAAGAGAGACGGCGGCGGGGCCGCGTGAGAGCCGGGGCGGGGCCGCGTCAGGGCCGGCGGCGAGGCCGCGAGAGAGCCGGGGCGGGGCCGCGATCAGGAGGCGGCGGCGGGGCCGCGTCAGAGCCGGCGGCGGGGCCTCGTCGAGGCGGGCGGCGGGGCCGCGTTGGAGCCGGCGGCGAGGCCGGCTAAGAGCCGGCGGCGGGGCCGCGTCAGAGCCGACGGCGGGGCCGCGTCAGAGCCGGCGGCGGGGCCGCGATCAGCGGGCGGCGGGGCCGCGTCAGAGGAGGCGGCGGGGCCGCTGCAGAGGAGGCGGCGGGGCCGCGTCAAGCAGGGGTGGCGGGGCCGCGTCAGAGGGACAGCGGGGTCGCGAGAGCAATGGCGACCCGAAGGGTCGCGAAAAAATGCGCGCCTCGGGGCGCGCTTCGGTGGGCCCTAAAAAAAACGGTCCTTAGGAAGGACCCGCTCTATACCATGTGAAACAAGTAAACAGGAATGAATGAACTAGCAGTGAAGTGAGTACAAGTAGGAAACCCTAGAATTGTGTACCCCCTATAGGCTAACCCACTGTAGCCTACACAAGCATAACATATATAATGTTTGACAGGGGCTCCACACGTCCATGTTAAGAGTCTGCAGCGGAGCCTCTGTCGGAGGAAACTCGGAGGAGTGAGAAGCGGCGCGCTGCTGCCCCTCAACACAGGGAACGCAGGTAGGGGCAGGCCCCGGAGGTAGGGGAGGGAGGGACCGGGGCAGACCAGAGACAAGGTAACGGGAGGCCATGCCTCGGAGACGAGGCAGGGAGGGGTGACCAAGGCGGTGGTGCCAAAGGAGAGTCTAGTGGGACAGGAGACGACACGAGCAAGGAGCAGACTCAGGACTAGACCTGGACGCTGCAGCAAACACTTGACTTGACGCAGCTACCTGACCAGACTCAGCAACCGGAGGAGACTCAGTAGTCAGTGTGTACAGGCTCGACCCCGGCCGACAGGTAAACGTGGCCAAGTGTCGGCCCGTCCGAGCACACGTACAGTGGGTCACCCGCTGACTCGCAGGAGAGAACTGGTCAACCCTCCTATCCTGTAGATCAGCTCCACTCACCAAGTTCGTAGAGAATGAGGGGAGGTAGAGACCTGATAGGGTGCCAGAGGGGGCTGCCGGACACGGTAAGACAGTGGAGAAGCGAGCAAGGACAGGACCCCCAGAGGGGTCCGCCAGGGAGACCGCAACCGGCCGACTAAGCGGCGTAAGCGTGGTGCGGTCTCGAAAGAAGGAGCGGGAAGCACCCGAGTCAAGGGTGCAGGTGTGGAAGGCCTGAGCCGACGTGGTACCTGAGAGAGCAGACTCACCAGCACCTGGGGCAGCAGACGCACTAGCACCTAGAGCAGCAGCCTCCCCAGTACCTAGAGCAGCAGCCTCAATGCCCGGGTCAGGCGGAACACACAGGTAACAGTCACCCTCAACACTATCAGACACAGCATACATGGCAGCAAGAATAGCATCATAATCAAGATCAAAGATAGTATCCCCGGCCCTAGACAGCTCTCCCCAGCGAGGGATCTCAGAGGCGTCAGGGAACTGGTGAGCCCACTCGTCCGTCAGGCGGCCGAAGCAGCACTGGGTGGAGTGCGGGCCCCCGCACTGCTCACCAGTGCGGTCGCCGGTACGGAGGACGTAGGTGCAGGGACCAGTACCCCCACCGCGCTGACGCGCAGCGTACCACTCACGAAGCTGCTGAGGGGACAGGGTCTCACGACTGCGCTGCTGCTGCTGGCGCGGACCACCACCGGAACCACTCCTCTGCGCAGAGCCGCGGCCAGCTCCACCGCTGCCGCCTCCGCCTCCGCCACCTCCGCCGCCTCCACCACCTCCGCCGCCTCCGCCACCTCCGCTCCCTCCGCCACCGCCGCCGCCTCCTCCGCCTCCACTGCTGCCACCGATACCTCCACCCCCGCCACCACTCCCACCACCACCCCCACCCCCTCCACTGCCTCCACCACCACCTCCACCACCCCCGCCAGTCCCTCCAGCGCCCTTGCCCCCCTTGCCCTTGCCGATGCGGCGTCTCCCACTAGGGGCAGACGCAGCGCCGACCGACTCGAAGCCAACGAGGTCGGCCGCAGCAGCAGAAGCAACAGAGGGCAAGAGGGGGGAGGGGGAACACCCCTCAAAGACGGGGGTGCAAGGGTCACCACGAGAGGCTCCTACAGCGTCTATGCTCTTCTCTGCTGCTAGGAGGCGCTCATCGAGGAGGTCAACGGTGAGTGTGGTGGGGCAAACTGAGACGAAGTGGTCCCTGACTTAACGAAGGGAGTCAGGGAGCCGGGTGACTATGTAGTAGAGGGTGATGTACATGGGGGGGGGTTCTTGGCAAAGAACTCAGCAAGAAGCGCAGCGCGGTAGCGAGTGTCACTAGTGCGAAGGTGCGTAATGAGGTCAGCGACTGTGGGAAAGGCAGCAAGGTCAGGGAACAGGTATGGCAGCATGAGGCGGCTAAGAGCAGCAGTGGCAGGGGAAGAGTAGCGTGCAACTACAGCGTCGTACAAGGTCTTAGCACTCTTATACTGACTAAAGTGCGCACGCTCAGTGGTCGGTAAGTGGCGACGCACAGCAAGACGGGCAGCAGCATCGCGTGTGGCCCACTGTGAGCGAACAGTGCTGTCAGCATCAGTAGGCGGGGCACGAGAGGTACTAGAGGTGAGATCGAACAGGGAGAGTCCGTCTGCCCTATCGCACTGGAGGAATAGCTGGAGGTCATCAACCCAGACCTCAAAGTCAGCAGCACGGCCCTCAGCATCAAAGGTAAGGACCCTGGAGGTAGCCATGACAGTAGTGGTCTAGCAGGGAGTGATCTCACCAGTCCGAGTGAGTAGGGCCGGGGCGCGCCGGTAGGAACAGGGCTGTAACCGCGGTGGCAGCGGCTCGGCAGTGACAGGAGCGGCTCGACGGCAGGGCGGGTCGGCGGCTCGGCTGCTGGGCAGCTCGGCGGCTCGGCTGCTGGGCGGCTCGGCTGTTGGGCGGCTCGGCTGTTGGGCGGCTCGGCGGTTCGGCGGCTCGGCGGCTCGGCTGATGGGCGGCTCGGCTGATGGGTGGCTCGGCTGCTCGGCTTCTGGGTGGCTCGGCTGATTGGCTGCTGGGCGGCTCAGCGGCGACGGGGCCGGTAGAGGCGGCGACGGGGCCGCGAAGGGCGGCGACGGGGCCGCTAGAGGCGGCGACGGGGCCGTGAAGGGGCCGCAAGGGGCCTAGAGGGGCGGCGTCGGGCCCAAGAGGGGCAGCGACGGGGCCGCCAAGGGGCCGCGAGGGGCCTAGAGGGGCGGCGACGGGGCCTAGAGGGGCGGCGACGGGGCCGCGAAGGGGCCGCGAGGGGCCTAGAGGGGCGGCGACGGGGCCTAGAGGGGGGGCGTCGGGGCCGCGAAGGAGCCGCGAGGGGCCTAGAGGGGCGGCGACGGGGCCTAGAGGGGCGGCGACGGGGCCGCGAAGGGGCGGCGACGGGGCCTAGAGGGGCGGCGACGGGGCCGCGAAGGGGCCGTGAGGGGCCTAGAGGGGCGGCGACGGGGCCGCAAAGGACGGCGACGGGGCCGTAAGGGGTGGCGACGGGGCCGCTAAGGGTGGCGTGAGGGGCCTCTAGGAGGGTGCGACGTGAGGGCGGCCTACGGGGCGCGCCTAGGGCAGGAAAAAAAAAGATCGAGTTAGGTGGTGGGCCCTGAGAAGCGTTCCCACGAGGGAACCTGCTCTATACCATGTGAAGAATGAGGAATGAATCAACTAGGAAAGAGGTGGGTACAAGTAGGAAAACCTAGATATGTTGTACCCCATATAGTCTACCCCACTACAGCCTACACAGACTACAGCATATAAGTTTGACAGCTGGGTCGTACGCGGCTTCGACCAAGAACATGGGTGCGACTTCACTGAGACGTTTGCCCCAGTCAGCCGACACACGTAATTACAAATTCTTCTCGCGATCGCCGCCATGAAGAAGAAGAAGCTGCGGCAAATTGACGTCGCCAACGCATTTCTCTACACACGTGTCGACACAGAAATCTTCTTTGAGCTACCGCACGGCTCCAACGGAGAGCCTAACCAAGTCTGTCAGCTGTTGAAGTCACTCTATGGCATCAAACCAGCTCCGAGGTTGTGGCAACAGTACCTGCACGCAAGACTCATTCACATCGGATTCCGCCAGCTACCTCACGACCAAGGCATGTACCGGCTCACAAAGGGCACCGACTACATCCTGCTGATCGTCTACGTAGACGATTTGCACTACATCGGCTCAACCGACAGGTTCACCACCTGGTTCGAAGGGGAGCTGCAGCAAGACCTCATGCTCACAGTCTCATCCACCGTCACGCAATACCTCGGCCTCAACATCCAGGAAGAAGAAGACGCAATCTACCTCAGCACCACGAAATACGCCGACACCATCGCTAAAAGCTTCGCACTCACGCCGACCACCATCTCCACGCCATATCGCTACGCGGCAGGAAACAACAAGGAAGGATCCACTTGGCTAAAGCCCGCCGGTATGCGCGACTACCAGAGAAAGCTGGGTTGCCTTCTCTTCGCAGCCGTCACCTGTCGTCCGGATCTGTCGTACTCTGCAAGTCAGCTCGCTACTTACCTCAAGAAACCTGAAGCGGATCACATGGCGGAGCTTGACCGCGCTCTTCACTACCTCGTCAGCACTCCGACGATCGGCCTGACCTATCACAAGAACGGGACTACAGCACCTAAACTAATCGGCTACGTCGACGCTGATCACGCCGGCGACTCCGACAAAGACGCTCGCGCACCGTCTACATCTATCGCTTTGAGCCTATCGGGCCTATCTCCTGGCAGTCGAGCAAGCAAGAATTAATCGCCCACTCTTCAGCTGAAGCAGCATATATCGCACTCTGCTCAGCCACCAAGGAAGGACTGTACCTTCGCGAACTCCTGGAGGAAGCCAAGCTAGCCCAGTTACCGAACTTCACCCTGTTCTGCAACAACCAGTCGGCCATTCGCATAGCCAACAAGAACGGCTTCGCGAACAGGACGAAACACATCGCCCTGCAATACTTCTTCGTGAAGGACGAGATCGAGAAGGGGAGACTCGAACTGTCATACTGCCCCACGTCCGAGATGGCAGCTGACTACTTGACCAAGAAGCTCGGAAAGCAGAAGTTCGAGTACTGCATGCTGCTGACTGGACAGAGCCACGTCACCAGCAGCGACACTCCAGAAGCAAAGGGGAGTGTTGGAAACAATTAATTCTAAGCGCCTCTGTCGTGTCGAAACACCAAGTCAGAAGCGAAGCGAAGCGAAGAATATCGAAGCACTAGCGAGTCAACCCTCGGAGGTTGAGCAGTTGTTGGAGGTTACGCGAAAGTCAAAGGTCAACGACCTTTGACCTGACAAGTACAGCGCGACAGCAAGGACACACAACTGACTCGCTACAGAGCAGTTGCCCGAGTCGTCACTGTTGTTGGGAACAAATAGTCTTAAGCGACTCTGTCGTGTCGAAACTCAAGACACAAGCGAAGCAGCTCAAATCGAAGCACCGCGAGTCAACCCTCGGAGGTTAACGTAACCGCTGGAGGTTACGAGAAAGTCAAAGGTCAACGACCTTTGACCTAACGCAGCGCGACAGCAAGGACACACAACTGACTCGACATTGAGCAGTTGCCCGAGTCGCACTGTATCGAACCGCAACAGTAAAACAGTGACAATTATGTCTCTTCATATTCTCTGTACTCATATATATATATATATTCCTGTATCTCTTTGCTTTAATTAACTTACTTTGCCCTCACATACTAGCGCAAGGTGGTTCAAGGACTTTATTCAAACGCTTCCGCTACTACATCATTTACTCAGACTTTAACTCTACTAAAGATCCTAGGGCGTTCAGCCCAACATGGTATGAGAGCTAGTTAGAGTTAAAAATTTCTCTTCAACACTTAATACATCAAGAAGACATGTCTGCTAGAAAGGAGAGGAGCTCCTCCAACGGCTCTCCCGGTACTACCCCTACTCCACCTCCTGCCTCTGGCCTACTGACAGAGGAAGGGACAACAACTAGACCAGCAGCTGGGTCTACGGAAACACCCGCAAACCAAGGCGCGGGCTTCGATCCAAGTATGATGGAGAAATTCTTCTCCTTCATGTCCTTCTACGAGCAGCATCAGCAAGGAGTACCCGCGCAATCAAACAACAGCAACAACAACAACAACGTGACGCCCATGAGTCTCGATGGCTCATCCTACGCACGCGGGAATCAACATCAACAACCTACCTTCGCTCCGTACGAGCCCCAGCGCGGCTCCGTCAGCTTCATGCCGCAACCACAACCTGCATCGGGACAAGAAAGAGCACTGGACGCACTACAAGTTCAGTCGCAATTGGCGCATGTTCTGAAACTACAAACGACAAAACCTTTCGACAGGAAGGATTTCTTTACCTGGTCGTTCGAATTCGAGCTGATGATGGAAGGAGCGCGGATCCTTGGCTTCTTCGACGGATCCCTGCCATATCCAACAAACGGCACGCAGTATGAGAAGCAGCAGTACACCTATCAATCGATGATGGCGTACACAATACTACTGAGGAACATCACCCCGACTCAACAGCAGAACATAAGGGTTACGGTAACTCCGCGGAGCTCGCGTACAACCACTTGAAGAACCTGTATCAAGCAACAGACAGCGTAAACCAAAGCCGGTTAATGGCGTAGCTGACAACAATCGAAATGAAACCAGGCGAGAAGGGCATGGCATATATCAGTCGCTGCCGCGAACTGCGCGACAAGCTTCTTCGATGTGGAGGATCGATTTCAGAAGACGCCTTTGTCACGGTTGTCATCGGTGGTCTTGGCCCTCACTGGCGCTCCACTCGCGCCATATTACGGGCACACGGGAGAATCTCCGAAGCAGCACTCTGCGCCGAAATCCATGCTGAACAGCAGGACATGGACCTGCAAGAAGAACGACATAAGAAGAAAACGTCAGTACCAGAGTTCGCGTTTCACACCCAGCGACGCTACAACAACAACAATCGGCAGCAACAACAATTGAAGCCAGTACCTCCGTTTTGCCATATCTGCAAGACTTCAGGGCATCCTCGTACGCACTGCGCGTATCGCCAGCAATCGACAACACCACAGCGACAACTTCGGCCTTCAAGCTCCCAAGTCACTTCAACGCAAGCAACTCCCACGACAAAGATTCAAACCTCAACGACTCCAACAGGACAACCTGCACAAGGAGCAAGAAACATCGTCAACTGCATGGCAAAGACAATAGATTCCTGCATCACCGAATCACCGCCACACTACTCACCAAAAGAACGACTTGACGAAACCACACCTCGCCGCGAGTCACTTCAGCCGAACCCGACATACGCCGCCATCGCTCAAAGCGAGCCATCCGGAAGAGACACTTGGTTCTTGGACAGTTGCTGCGGACAGCACATGTGCTCCTCAGGACGTTTCGTTCAACGCGAGCACCGACTTCAACGAGAAGTCGTCATCACCGTCGCCAATAATCAGAACCTGCGAACAAGACGACAAGGCATAGTACAGCTTCAGTCACAGGAGAAGAACGTCGTACTACAAATGTCGAAAGTCCTAATAGCAGAGGGACTCGGCTACAACTTACTGAGCGTCAGTCAGCTGATGGCGAAAGGCATACACCTGGAAGCCGAAGCACCACCCAAGAGTTCAAACTGTACCACGGGAAGGGCGGCCTCTACATCGGAAAGGCGGTTCTGAAGAATAATGTCTTTGTCCTTGACTTCGTCCCAGACCTGGGCACCGCAGACAGCGACGCCATCGTGAACTTCGCCGACTGGACGCACCCTCTAGATCTTGATCCAGACTTCAGCCCGGAAGGCTTCTGGTACTCGCATACCATCCCTGAAGCAGAACGAACACGCGCGTTAGCAACAATTCAACATCCGGCAGCAGCAGAGACAACATCGGCAGCAGCAGAAGCAGCAGAGACAACATCGGCAGCAGCAGAAACATCATCGGCAGTAGCAGAACCATCGTCAGCGACACCAATTCTCGTTGACGAAGCACCACCAACACTCGCACAGCAGCTGAACCCAACTCAACGAGAAGTCCACAGAAGCGCAAACTTCGTCGCCAGCTTCTACTCCAACTCCGATGCGTATCAACGCTCACCCGGACACCGCGCCTCCGAAGACATCTGGCACGTATGCATGGGACATCCAAGCAACACCGTGTTAAATAATACAATAAGAGCAGGAGTCCTAGACAAGGATTCATTACTACTACCCGACGGCAGAGAACTTCAACGGGCACGAGGAACTTGCCTCACCTGCCCCGAAGCCGACTTACCACATCGACCGTTTACTCCTCACCACAACCCGAGCGCACCCGCGTACGCACCACTCGAGAAGGTGTACAGCGATATTCTCTTCAATCGAGAACCAAGACAAGTTACTTACAACTACACGATAACCTTCATCGATGCCGCCACTCGATACGTCTGGCACCTAAACCTACCCAGCCGCGACATGGCACTCGCAGCGTTCGCCGCCTGGCTACCAGTAGCAGAGAGAGAGTCGGGAGCACAGCTGAAAAGCTTCCAGTCAGACGGAGGAGGAGAATACACCTCTCAGCGCTTCAAGTAGTACCTGGCGGAAAGAGGAATCAAGCAGCTCCTCTCCCTTCCCTACGCCCATCAGCAGCAAGGTGTCGCAGAAAGAATGAACAGGACTCTGAAGAACAGCATGCGCAAACTGCTACGTGGCATGCGGCTACCCAACCACCAGTGGCCTGCAGCAATGGACCACGCTGTCATGCTGCACAACTTGATGTCGTCGTCCTCACTTCCGAACAACGCATCACCGCATCTGCTGTGGACAGGGAAACAGGGCAGCACAAAAATGTTACGAGTTTTCGGGTGCATGGTACAGTACCGACCCCCAGAAGCACGAGCGGGAAGATTTTCACAACGCGCACAATGGGGACTACACCTCGGCATCGAAAAGAATTACAACGCGTGGAAAATCTTCGACGTCCACTCCAAGGAAACAGTAGTAGCACGTGACGTGATCTTCTACGAACGACTCACGCTTCAGACGTACCTCGCCAACTTGCACGAAAATCAGGACCCCACAGGTGGCTTTCGTGGTGACCGAGCCTTCGCCTCAGCGGCGGACGAAGCAGACTGGGACGAGCAGAACGTCGACAACGCATCAGAACAAGCCGGACCTCTACCGTTCTGCTCCGTCAACGTCCCCATGGACGAAGAAAATCCTCGCGAAAGCGCCAACGCCGAATTCTTCTACCACTTCGCCGACAACGGTTACGTAACACCTGCGACAGTCAACACCAACGAAGCAGAACGGATAGGGCCGAATTTCATACCCGACCCAGAAGCGGGAGATGAAGCAGCTTATCCTGAGGACACAACTCTCCCCCGCTACTCACAGACTGGACTGCAGATTCTCGGCCTCGTCACCGCAGTCCACGGCAATGCTCTTCCTAAAGAGCCTGCGACAGTTCAGCAGGCTCTGGGGGGGGAACACAGGGAGAAATGGCGTGAAGCCATGGACAGAGAGTTAAAGGCGCTGGAGGAACGCAACACCTGGAAAGTCGTTCCCGTAAGCGTGGCAAGGAACAAGACCATCCTCACCGGGAAATGGGTCTTCCGCATTAAAACAAAGGCAGACGGTACAATCGAGAAATTCAAAGCACGCTGGGTCGTGCGTGGATTCGACCAGGAGCACGGACGGGACTTCACCGAGACATTCGCCCCGGTCAGCCGACATACCTCACTCCGAATTCTTCTCGCGATCGCCGCTATGAAGAAGAAGAAACTGCGACAAATCGATCTCGCCAACGCGTTCCTCTACGCACCCGTCGACGCCGAAATCTTCGTCGAGCTCCCACACGGTACCCACGGGGAACCTAACCAAGTTTGCCAGCTACTGAAATCGCTCTACGGTATCAAACAAGCCCCGCGGCTGTGGCAACAGCACCTACACACTCGCCTCACTCGCATCGGATTCCGCCAACTACCTCACGACCAAGGAATGTATCGACTCGCCAAAAACGCCGACTATATCCTGCTGATCGTCTACGTCGACGACCTACTCTACATTGGCTCCACCGACGACGTCACCACCTGGTTCGAAGGGGAGCTGCAGAGGGATCTTACACTGACGGTCTCCTCTACCGTCACTCAGTACCTCGGACTCAACATCCGCGAAGAAGAGAACGCGATCTATCTCAGCGCCGAAAAGTATGCCGACACTATCGCCAAACGCTTCTCGCTCACACCTACCACTATCTCCACGCCATACCGCTACACGGCAGGGAACGACAAAGGAGGTCCCGCTCTACTCAAAACCACCGGAATACGCGACTACCAGAGGAAGCTGGGCTGCCTTCTCTTCGCAGCCGTCACCTGCCGCCCAGATCTGTCCTACTCCGCAAGTCAACTTGCTACCTATCTCAAAAGGCCCGAAACAGAACACCTGGCGGAACTCGACCGCGCTCTCCACTACTTCGTGAGCACCTCGACGATCGGCCTGACATACTACAAGAGTAAAACTACACCGACGAAACTAATCGGCTACGTCGATGCCGATCACGCCGGCGATTCAGACAACAGACGCTCCCGCACTGGCTACATCTACCGCCTCGAACCTATCGGACCTATCTCCTGGCAATCGAGCAAGCAGGAACTAATCGCTCTCTCCTCAGCTGAAGCAGAATATATTGCACTCTGCTCAGCCACCAAGGAAGGACTCTATCTTCGCGAGCTGCTGGAAGAAGCGAAGTTAGCCGAGTTACCCAACTTCACTCTGTTCTGCGACAACCAATCTGCGATTCGCATCGCCAACAAGAGCGGATTCGCGAACAGAACGAAGCATATCGCACTGCGATATTTCTTCGTGAAAGACGAGATCGAGAAAGGGAAACTCAAACTGTCCTACTGTCCCACGTCTGAGATGGCAGCTGACTACTTGACCAAGAAGCTTGGAAAACAGAAGTTCGAGTATTGCATGCTGCTGACTGGACAAAGCCACATCACCATCAGCGACACTCCAGAAGCGAAGGGGAGTGCTGGGAACAAATAGTCTTAAGCGCCTCTGTCGTGTCGAAACTCAAGACACAAGCGAAGCAGCTCAAATCGAAGCACCGCGAGTCAACCCTCGGAGGTTAACGTAACCGCTCGAGGTTACGAGAAAGTCAAAGGTCAGCGACCTTTGACCTGACGCAGCGCGACAGCAAGGACACACAACTGACTCGACATTGAGCAGTTGCCCGAGTCGCACTGTATCGAACCGCAACAATAAAACAGTTACAATTATGTCTCTTCATATTCTCTGTACTCATATATATATTCCTGTATCTCTTTGCTTTAATTAACTTACTTTGCCCTCACATACTAGCGCAAGGTGGTTCAAGGACTTTATTCAAACACTTCCGCTACTACATCATTTACTCAGACTTTAACTCTACTAAAGATCCTAGGGCGTTCAGCCCAACAACTGTATCGAACCGCAACAGCAACAGTAAAGTAGTTGCAACCGTATCTCTTCATATTCATTGTACTCTTATATAATCTTGTATCTCTTTGCTTTAATTATTTCACTTTGCCCTCACATACTAGCGCAAGGTGGATCAACTACTCCATTAAACGCTTCCGCTAATTACAACAAAGTCCTACCCAGAGTTCAACCCTGCAAAGATCCTAAGGGCTTTTCTCAGCCCAACACCTCACACCTCTGACCCATGCAGGGAAGCACTTGAGACGCAAAAATGAGATTGATTATCAACAACCGCCCTGAATTCATATGATCCAGCCGTCAGTGCCTGGTGGAGGGAGCTCGGCTCTCTTCTGCACTGCAGGTGCGGCGAGGGCTCTATCCATATCGAATCGGACTTCTAACGTGCGCAGACTGTAGCCCACCACCATGAGCCAATAGAGCAGCTTTGCCAACTCAGTCACTGTAGTCTCTGATGCCACGGACTGGGATTGGAGTTTTTGGGGAATGTGAGACATGGGAAGGAGAACAATTGAAGAGGAAAGTACAAATAGAAACACAAACATACATTTGTGCAAGTGCAACTTTCCACCTCTATCACTAGCTCTGTGCAACCCCCTTAACACCTCGCTCAATCTGGTCTCTCTCCATTTCACCCCAATCCAGCCCTCCCTCACCTTGATCTCCCCGACGTCAGGAACGCCTAACAGCCGTTGGATGAACGCATTCATGGCTGCCAGTGCATCGTCATCCGCACTGGCTGTCAGCTCCTGTGAGGGGGCATGAGGGGAATGGAGCAGAGCGGGGAGAAAGTGGGGAGGGGGGAAGCGGATTGGAAGGTGGGGTTGGGGAGGGTGGGGCCTGTCTCTTTCGACTCCTGCCCCTCAATTCACCCTGCATCTATTTAATCCACTCTGCACTTTGCTCCCTGCTCCCTGCTCTCTGCTCTCTGCTCTCTGCCCTCTGCTCCGTGCTCTCTGCTCCGTGCTCTCTGCTCCGTGCTCTCTACTCCCCGCTCACCTTTATATTCTGTGGCTCCAGTCCCTTCAAATACTCCAGCAGCGCATTCCCGCTGCCTCCTCCCCCGCCTCCCACCCTCGCCAGATTCGCCTCCTCCTCTCCTCCAATCTTCTCTTTAGGGCCCGAACCTCCCCTTCTAGCAGCTCCACCCACCCCTTCTCTGTCACTCACCTGTATATTCTGCGGCTCCAACCCCTTGAGGTACTCCAGCAGCGCGTTCCCACTTCCTCCTCCCCCTCCCACTCGTGCCAGTTTCGCCTCCTCCTCCTCCAGGCGTCTCTTCAGCGCCCGGACCTCCCCCTCCAGGAGCTCCAAAGAGCCTATCTACTGCCCACCTCAAGTGGTGGCTTCACTTGCTATCTGCTCACCTGTATATTCTGTGGCTCCAAACCCTTGAGGTATTCCAGAAGGGCATTTCCGCTTCCCCCCCCTGCTCCCCCCACGCGCGCCAGTTTCGCCTCCTCCTCCTCCAGCCGTCTCTTCAGCGCCCGAACCTCTCCTTCTAGAAGCTCCACATAGTCTACCGCCGGCACCCGAACCACCCGCTCAGCCTCGGCGTCCCACCGAAGCACCTCCCCTGCCACGTGCGTCTTTTGCACCGGACCCAGAGGTAAGGCGCTGTCAGTGGGAGGCTGGAAAGGATGGGGGAAAAGAGAACCAGGGGGAAGTATGGGTTGTGAGAGGAGTGAAGGGAAAGAAAAGCACTTTCCCAATCACGTGAGCCTTCTGGATCGGACCCAGAGGTAAGGCGCTGTCAGTGGGAGGCTGGAAAGGATGGGGGAAGGGAGCGCAAGTGGGGGGAAGGGGAGCGAGGCTTGCAAAAAGTGAACCCATATGGTCAGTAGAGAGATAGAAACACCTCCAGAAGACCTGAGTTTGCGTTGCAGGGTTTTTTAGAGAATTCTCATAACATTCCTGCAACGTCAAGTGAACCCATATGGTCAGTAAAGAGAAAGAAACACCTCCAGAAGACCTGAGTGTGCGTCTTGTGGATCGGACCCAGAGGTAAGGGGCTGTCAGTGGGAGGCTGGGTGAGGGTGTCAGAGGGAAGGAGGAGTGAGGGAGTGAAGGAGTGAGGGAATGACAGAGTGAGAGAGTGAGAGAGTGAGGGAGCGATGATCTTGTTATGCATGTCCTGAGGATACAGCACATGCGCAGGGCGGGAGGGAATGCATGTCATGTCATGCAGCGCATGTGCACCCATGCCTATAAATGTGAGGACGTGCACATGCTTATGCCCATTCCTATGCCCACAGCCATAGCCACACACAGTCAGCAAAACAACATACCCACGATCCAGAATCAGAGTCACTGCCACTGCTGCTGCTGCTCCCCCTTTGTCTGTCAGAAGCAGTAGAGGATGGAGATGCTGGTAGTGGCTGAGGCGAAGAGGAGGAGAAAGAGGAGGAGGAGGGTGAGGAGGTGGAGGAGGGGATGTGAGGAGGGAAGGAGGAGGGAAGGGAGGTAGGAGAGGAGGAGGCAGCAGGGAGGGCAACGGCGCCAGCAAAGGAGGAGGAGAGTTCGAGGCGGTATTGTGCGTTACGGAACATGTAACCCGTCATCATGACACTGAACATCAGCTGGGCCAGATTCTCCCCAACCTGTTGTATGTAGCGGGGAGAACATGCAAAAATTTCAAGAGAGAAGAGACAAAGGCGGAAAGGAAAGTTTGAGGCAATGCTGTGCGTTACAGAAGATGTAATCCGTCATCATCACACTGAACATGAGCTGGGCCAGATTCTCCCCCACCTGCCATGTGTAGGGAGGAGAACATGTGGAGAGACGAGATGAAGGAGGAGGAGAGTTCAAGGCGGTAGTGTGCGTTACGGAACATGCAGCCCGTCAGTCATCACCGCGCTGAACATTAGCTGGGCCATATTCTCCCTCACCTGCCGTGTCTAGAGAGAGAACATGAGGAGAGAAAGAGTTGGAGGAGAGTTCGTGGCGGTGCTGTGTGGTACGGAACATGTAGCTCGTCATCACATCACATCATCACGCAGAACATGAGCTGAGCCAGGTCGTGTTTTTTGAGAATTCTCAAAAAACACGTTTTGAGAATTCTAAAAAAATCACGCAGAACATGAGCTGAGCCAGGTTCTCTTCTCCCCCACCTGCCGTGTATGGCGAGACAATGTGGAGAATTTTGTAAGGGAAGAGATGAAAGAACAGGGGCGCTACAATGCCCGTACAACAGGGGAAGAGTGCAATGGGCACTACAGCACGAACATGTTGCCCCAGCAACCATTTCCCCTCCCCCCCTTCCACCACCCCCCACCGCACCGTACCGTTGTGACAGTGACTTCAAAATACTGCGGTGGCAGCGACCCCAGCATGTTGCTCACAGTCTGTCTCATTGCATCCACCAACTGGGGTGGGTGGAAGGAAAGGAGCAGGGAAGAAGGGTAGGGACAAGGACAGAGGCAGGCAGGAGGAAAGAACGACGGCAGGATGGTTGAGCAGCGACCTCAGCATGTTGCTCACGGCCTGTCTCATTGCATCCACCAACTGGCGTGGGTGGAAGGGGGGAGGGAGGGAGGAACGGAGGGGACATGTGAATATGAATGGAGGCAGGAGGACGGAAGGCAGGATGGTTGAGCAGCGACCCCACCATGTTGCTCACGGTCTGTCTCATCGCATCCACCAACTGGCGTGGGTGGGTGGAGTGGAAGGACGGAGGAATTCGGCAGGTTTAAGAGGGGACGAAAGCGGCAGGTTCAGCGAACCCAGCCCAGCAGGTTGCTCATGGCTGCCTGCCCCTTCTTCTGCGAACATAAACACATCCTAGCCTAGTCTAGTCTAGTCTAGTCTAGTCTAGTCTAGTCTAGTCTAGTCTAGTCTAGTCTAGTCTAGTCTAGTCTAGTCTAGTCCTAAGTGGCGAAATACGCTTTTGCCTTTAAGCGTATAGCGTTTATCCGCTTGCGTATACACGCAAAACGCAATACGCTAGCAAATACGCAATACGCTCGGGAGTTTTTTTCTGGGCAGCCCAAGGTGAAAATTTTCAGGAATATAAAGAAATCTGCCGTTTTTCACGGCGATCATTTCGCGGTGGTCGAAATGCGCATCGGAGATCTATGGTAGCGGGAATGTCACTTCAATGTTTGGATTCAGGTTGGAGTTGCAATTTCGAATTTCAGGGTTCCACCTCTTGGAACCGAACCCAATCTACGAACTCCAACCTTTCCACTACGTCCCCTCCAACACATCGTTTCTCGTCAGATCTACTTCGTCGTACTCACTTAGTCACTCACTCCTAGTCCAAAACGCAATCAATGTCTACTGTTCCCAACCCACCACCCGATCCCACGCAAGATAATGATAGGGCACGTCCTCTTTGTGAGACTAGGGAAGTAACTTCCCGATGTTGAGCACGAAGTCTAAGCATTTCGCGTCATAGGGGAAAAAATGAACCTGAGACATAACCTCCGTGAATCGCCCCTGTGAACTATACCTAGGGTGTTTTTTTCACCCTGCCCGGGTTTTTTTTACCCTGCCCGAAAAAGCGTATTCCTGGATTCGGGACCTTAGCGTATAGCGTATAAACGCATGCGTATATACGACACGCGTATATACGCTATACGCGTATTTCGCCACTTAGGTCTAGTCTAGTCACATCACATACTGCCTCGCCTCACCTCACCACACACGCTCATTTACCTCACCACACACGCTCATTTACCTCACCACACACGCTCATTTACCTCACCACACACGCTCATTTACCTCACCACACACGCTCATTTACCTCACCACACACGCTCATTTACCTCACCACACACGCTCATTTACCTCACCACACACGCTCATTTACCTCACCACACACGCTCATTTACCTCACTCGTGGCTCGGCGTGCTGAAAGAATTTCTCCATGAAGTCTGGCTGCACGCCCCTCACATACTCACACACTCACATGCTCCCTGTTGCTGCCACGGCGCATCGGCATCACACAATGCTGTGGCTTGACATGGCAACCCAGCACTCACCTGTGGCTCGGCGTGCTGGAAGAATTTCTCCATATAAGTCCGGCTGCACGCCCCTCACGTACTCACACACACTCACATGCACGCTGCTGCTGCTGCTGCTGCTGCTGCTGCTGCTGCTGCTGCTGCTGCTGCTGCTGCTGCTGCTGCTGCTGCTGCTGCTGCTGCTGCTGCTGCTGCTGCTGCTGCTGCTGCTGCTGCTGCTGCTGCTGCTGCTGCTGCTGCTGCTGCTGCTGCTGCTGCTGCTGCTGCTGCTGCTGCTGCTGCTGCTGCTGCTGCTGCTGCTGCTGCTGCTGCTGCTGCTGTGACTTCACACTATGCAGTGGCTCCCTGCTGTGGCAACCCAGCACTCACCTGCGGCTCGGCGTGCTGGAAGAATTTCTCCATGAAGTCCGGCTGCACGCCCCTCACATACTCCACTAGCAGTTGCCTCCGTGTCTGCCCTCCCATGGGCGAGGTGGGACCTGGCTGCTGCTGCAAGAAAGCAGGGAGGGAGGGTGCAGGGAGCAGGGTAGGCAATCGCACGGTATGGTACGGTATTGCGCGGTGCAAAGGGTGGCACGCCTAGATGCACGCACGCCCCTCACATACTCCACCAGCAGCTGCCTCCGCGTCTGCCCTCCCATGGGGGACGTGGGGCCTGGCTGCTGCAGCAAGCAAGAAGGAGAAGGGTGCACAATGGTACAGTACGGTACGGTAAAGTTACTGTATGGTATGGTAAGCGTGGCAGGCACGCATAGGCTACACGCCCCTCACATACTCCACCAGCAGCTGCCTCCGTGTCTGCCCTCCCATGGGCGAGGTGGGACCTGGCTGCTGTTGCAAGAAAGCAGGGAGAGAGGGAGAGAGGGAGGGTGCAGGGAGCAGGGTAGACAATCGCACGGTATGGTACGGTATTGTGCGGTGCAAAGGGTGGCACGCCTAGATGCACGCCCCTCGCATACTCCACCAGCAGCTGCCTCCTTGTCTGCCCTCTTATGGGGTAGGTGGAGCCTGGTTGCGATGGCTGCTGCTGCAATGGAGGGAAAGAGGGAGCAAGGTGGGTAATGTTACAGAATGGTATGGTGTGGTGCAAGGGGTGGTATGCATAGGCTGCACGCCCCTCACATACTCCACCAGCAGTTGCCTCTGTGTCTGTCCCTCCATGGGGGAGGAGGGAGGGGCTGGTTGCTGCAGCAATGGAGGGGAGGGAGCAGGGCGGGTGATGGCATGGTACTGTATGGGATGGTACACAACGCGCACCCCCTACATGTAATGAGTCATGTTTTGAGTCAACTCAAAACACGACTCATTACAAGGGAGGGGAGGGAGCAGGGCGGGTGATGGCATGGTACTGTACGGGATGGTACGGGTACGGTACAACGCGCACCCCCTACCCACGACCGCAAACTTCTGCACCCCATAACCACACACATGGTAACCACACACGTGGTAACCACACTCACGTCATCCGGGCCTGCTCGTAACCGCCCCACGCGAAGCCTTCTCCCGCCACCATTCCATCTCCCGGCGGCCTCTCCGCCACTCCTGAGTCGCCACGTGGTTCCCTTCCAACTGCTACACCAAACCCGTGCTTCCTGGCCGTGTCTGGCAAGCCGCGAAACACTTCCGAGCGCCCCGGAAGACGCACCAGAAGAAACCGTGCGCCACGTCAGCTGACACGTGCCAGCGGCGAATGCGGCCGACATGATCTACCGCGGAGGGAGACGCGAGTCGGCTGTTGTCTGCAAGATGCAACTTTTGACTTCAGTTGACTCAATGACTAGGCTCGTATGAATGTCGTACCAAGACCGTACCAAGGTCGTACGAAGGTCAGTATCGGTGTCGCCAAGACGTTCACTAGTGCTGCTTTACGAAGGCATGTGCTCCCAAGACCTAGTAATACAATTAGACTCGTACGCGGTGAAGGCTTATGCTGCGAGCGGTGCTTTCTCGGGAGGCCTTGAGAACAACGCTACGTCGGAGCCGATGCCGCGCGGTGCTACGAATGCACGTGGCGAAACAGAATACCGAAAGCAGCACTAACTCGTTGCTGTTTCTGACGACTGCTTAGTTGAGCAGCGTGTAGGTATGTGCCCAAAGGAGTAAAGGGAAAGTGTTACGGGTGCAATGAATCGAGGTAGCGAGAATTGCACTAAGGTGTCAAACGAGTACAAAATGTGAGCGAAGGCATGAGCGAGCATTTATACGCGAAACATGCAAAACGGTAACGCGGTGCGTGCGAACTTGCTAGTGCTACGCTGGAGCGAGGCTCGGGCTAGTCCCGAAGCGTAGGCCGATACGGCCATGCCAGCAGTGCGAGGTTTGGCAAAACAGTGCGCGCGAAGTCGGCGAAGTTCCGTTAGCAGTAACGGGCGAACAGTCGGCTGTTGCTGTACGCGATGTAGTCGGCTCCGTAAGGAATGCCTGAGAAAATTCCTTACACTACCCCCCCCCCTTAAGAAGCCCCCTCCGCTACGCGAGTGCGTGTATATCGCGGAATCCCCGGCTTCTCAAGTACACTTGCAGGGCAGGGTGATTTTCGATGTTGCTCAGGGGCACCCAGCTATCTTCAGTTGGCGTGCGGTCTTTCCAGCGAACGAGGAATTCAATCCTCCTGATTCCCGTGGGGTGGCGGATCCGATGGCTCAAAAATTTTTCGGGCTCGATGATCGGCTCTGATGCAGGGCGAGTCATTGATTGTGGCCGGTGACGCGGCAGTTGACTCGTGGTCGGGATGTATGGGCGAAGTAGGCTGACGTGGAACGAAGGGCTGATGTGCCAGTCAATTGGCAACAGTAGGTGCGCGGTGACGGGTGTGATCATGTGACTGATTTGGAATGGTCCACAGTAGCGCGGTCGTAATTTTGGTACGTCGGGCAGTCGCAGATTTTGCGTGTCGAGTAGCACGTAATCTCCAGATTGATACGTGACGGGGCGGCGGTGGCGATCAGCGTTGCGCTTAGCGATGACGTTGGCCTTTTTTATTGCTTCGGCGGCTCTGGCGCGGGCAGCTTGCAGGATTTCGGCGAATTGTTGTGCGCGTGGCGTTGGGTTGTCCGGACTCGGCGTCATGGGCACTGTGGGGTTCTGCCCATAGTTCAGGTAGAACGGGGACTGCTGCGTCGTGGCTGATGTGGCGTTGTTGTACGCGAACTCGATCAGCGGCAGCTGCTGCTCCCAGGTCGTGGGGTCGTCGCACGTGGCACGAATCAACTGCTCCATCGTCTGATTCGTCCGCTCCGTTTGGCCGTCGGTCTCGGGGTGGTACGACGAACTGAACTGTAGCCTGGTCCCGAACTGCTCCCAGAGGTTCTTCCAGAAGTTGCTGGTAAACTTCGTGTCCCTGTCGCTGATAATTGCTGCTGGTATCCCGTGCAGGCGAACAACGGCTGCGATGAACAGGCGAGCGGTCTCTTCGGCTGAGATCGACTTTTTGCACGCAGCGAAGTGTGCCATCTTCGTCAACCTATCCACGACGACCATCACCGCGTCGTTACCCCCAGGGTTCGAAGGTAACCCTGTGACGAAGTCCATGGTTACTTGCTGCCAGGCGCGTTCGGGCGGTGGGATCGGTTGCAATTGACCCGCCTTCCGCTTCCTTGAACTCTTCATCACCTGACACGTCGGGCACGAGCCCACGTGCTGCTGTACGTCGGTCAACAGCTCCGGCCAGTAATAGTACCGCTGCAGTTGCTGTCGTGTTTTTTCTACCCCGAAATGTCCCGAGGTAATCCCGTCGTGTGCCTCCTGCAGTAGCAGCTCCCTCAGTAGTGAGTACGCGGGTACCCAAATGCGGTTGGTGCCTGTTTTTACGTAATAAACTCCTTTTGCTTCTGCCAGTTGTTGTGAATTTCCGGTCGTGAAAAATGGGTCGGTGCGGTATCCGTGGGTGAATAGGCCAGTTAAAAGCGGGTTGGTCTGGGCGAGTAGGATGGCGTGGAGTTGGGCGGTGGGGCGGGTGAGAGCGTCGGCGATGTTGGATGCTCCTTTTTTGTACGTGACGGTGTAGTGAAAATTGGACTCGAGATAGTCCAACCAGCGAATCTGTCGTGGGTTGAGATTCGGTTGGGCGCGAAGGTACTGTAGCGAGCGGTGGTCTGTCCGTACTGTCACGTCGGCACCAGTCAGGTAACATCGCCAAACTTTGAACGCGTGCACGATCGCTAGCATCTCGCGGTCGTGTATCGGGTAGTTACGTTCGGGCGGGTGTAACTTGCGGGACTCGTACGCGATTGGCTGGAGGCCATTCCCGAAATCCTGCAACAGTACTGCTCCCACAGCGATGTCACTTGCGTCGGTGACGAGCTCGAACGGACGGTGGGGATCTGCAATGTGAAGGACGGGCGGGGAGCACAAAATATTTTTGAGGGCCGAGAAGGCAGCTTGCTCTTTCTCCCCCCACGTGTACTCAACCCCCTTCCTCAGCAGGTCAGTCAACGGGGCAGTCAGTTTCGCCATGTCGGGGACGAACCGGCGCACGTAGTTGACGAACCCCAGGAAACTCTGCAACTCGGTCAAGTTGGTCGGTCAGTTCGTCGGCTCGTGGGATGGGGTAACGGGATTTGATGGTAACCCTGTTCAGTGCCCTGTAGTCGATGCACATGCGAAAACCCCCGTCCTTTTTCGGTGTGAACAGTATTGGTGCGGCGAAAGGCGACGAACTAGGGCGAATGAATTCCTTTTCTAGCAGGTAATCGAGCTGCTTCCTTAGTTCGTCTAGTTCGGGTTGGGTCAGTCGGAACTGTCGCTGTACTGTTGGCTGTGCCCCCGGTTCCAGTTCTATCCTGTGATCGTGCGGTCGCTGAGGTGGCAGTCCCGTCGGCAGGTCATCCGGGAAAATGTCACTGTACTGTTGTAACAGTGCCGCCAGGTCACTCGGTACGTCGGTCAGCAGTTTCTGTAAATCGCCTCCCTTGTCTGCTGCCTCGGCTTCCCGAATGTCAACCGCGTACACGTCGGCTCCGGCCGCAACAGCGCGTTTCATCGTGATCGCGTTGACACGCACCGACGAAGACTCAGGCGAGCCCCAGCGAGGTAAGGCGATGCTGTTACCGTTCACTCGCACGGTGCAGTCACCCGTCGTCCAGTCAATTCGCGGGTTGTGTCGTCGCAGCCAATCACGCCCGAGTAAAATGTCGGTTCCGTCGAGGGTCGTTGCGAGCATTTCCTGACTAAACGTGAAGTTACCCCCGCATCGAATCCGAACTCGGTCTACACGTTCCCGTATTGCCAGCGGCGTGCCGTCTACCAGTCGTGCGTCGATCTCAGGTAAGCATCGGTCCAGTGGCAGTCGCAGTTTTCGTGCTGTAGCAGTGTTAATGAGGCTGTGGCTGGCTCCCCCATCTACGAAGATTTTGACTAAGTCCGTCCCAATTTTCCCACTGAGCAGTATAGGGCTATCTACCGTGGTACCCTCCTTATTCGGCCGGGTGTGGTCGATTGCGTGAACCGGCACAATCACTCGGTGAGGGTCGGTTGGGTCGGGCGAGCGGCGTGACCTGTCAGTAGAGGGCCCGTCTGCTACTGACTTCCAGCGTTTCCCTGCTGCTTGGTCTGTGTCTGCTGCTCAGCTTCCCCCTTTCCCTTAGCGTTTTCCGGGCATTCGCTCTTGCGATGTCCCGGCCGATTGCACGCAAAGCAGCGCCCTTTGAACGGTGCGGCAGCGGCATTTGCGGCGACGGCGCGTATCGTGGCGCTCTCGTTCGTCCCACGAGGCCGATGTCCCCAGGTGTTGTTTCCGTAGGACCCCGGTCTCGGTCGGCGAAAGAAGTCGAGCTTCTCCGCCATAGCGAGAATTTCCTGAAACTCAGTGACGCCGCGAAGCTGGATTTCCTGAGCGATGTCCTGCTTCAGGCCGCCGATGTAGCGGTCGATGCGTTCGCTCTCATGCATGTAGCCCACCTGCTCGCATAGCGCCAGAAATCCGCTCGTGTAATCCTGGACGGAACCGAGTTGGCGCCAAGTGCGGAGCTTCTGTCGCGCCGAGATCGAGGCCGCGATTGGCTCAAATCGAGCGCGCAGACCTGCGCACCACGCGTCCCACGTGCGATACTGGGGCACCTCCACGAAATACGACGGCGCCCAGGGTCCGGTTTGTCCTTCCCGTGTCGGTAGTGTCGCGTAGTCGGTCGGCTTCGTGACGATGACGCACCACCAGTCCATGGCGGGTCCTCGCAGCAACGACACGGCGTATCGAATCTTCGCCGAGTCCTCCGAGACGTAGTTGGCGTCGAAGAAAACATTCATTGTGAATAACCACGCCTGAACGGTAGGACCACCCCGTTGACTCGGGTCAAAGCATGGCGGGCGCTGCGGTTTCAGCGGCATCGGTGACGGCAGTCCCGAATCGTGGGTTGGTGCCGAAATCGTGACGCGAGGCTGACTTGGGGCCGCAGGCGTCGCTCTGGGGTGTGTCGTGCCGTGGTCGTCGTCTCCGTCGGGGCGGACGACGCCATCACTGGCCGCGCTCGCGGGTTGCCCCACACTCCCGTGTTGTGATGTTGAGGGTGCAGGTTGAATCGGAGTGCCAGGTGCTTGGGATTGTGCTCTCATGAGGTCATTTTGCAGTGATGAGCGTTCTGCCGTCAATGCCGCGATTTCCTCGGAGCTTTCGTGCAGTTGTCGCAGCAGATCGTTCAAACGCTCCTGCGTGAGGGTGGTGACGTCGATGTTTTCGGCCATGACGAAGGGCGTCGGCTCGTCTTAGTCTAGGCGCAGTCGTGGCTGCACGCGTTTACGAGAGAACGCGAGGACAGCGGCTCCTAGGGGCTAAGGTGCGTGAGTCCCTTCGAGTGAAAAATCAAAAGTTGATTTCCTGGTGTGCGGAGATGCGCGGTCCGAAAGAAAGGGGCTCTGATACCAAGTGTTACGGGTGCAATGAATCGAGGTAGCGAGAATTGCACTAAGGTGTCAAACGAGTACAAAATGTGAGCGAAGGCATGAGCGAGCATTTATACGCGAAACATGCAAAACGGTAACGCGGTGCGTGCGAACTTGCTAGTGCTACGCTGGAGCGAGGCTCGGGCTAGTCCCGAAGCGTAGGCCGATACGGCCATGCCAGCAGTGCGAGGTTTGGCAAAACAGTGCGCGCGAAGTCGGCGAAGTTCCGTTAGCAGTAACGGGCGAACAGTCGGCTGTTGCTGTACGCGATGTAGTCGGCTCCGTAAGGAATGCCTGAGAAAATTCCTTACAGAAAGCAAGGAAGGTGAAAGTGCATGAAAGTTCTTACAACCTTGTAAGACATATGAGTAAGCAGTTGTTACAGATATCTCAGACAGGGTTTTTTTTTAATAGAAGGCTTTTCACTATATCAGGGATACAGCAAAAGGGGCCACAGTCGTAACTGTATGAGGGAGGGGGGCAATTACACAGGTGACAGCAATGAGAGAACCACCCCTCAAACGGATCTACGGTGGTTTGTATCTGGCCCTCCGGTCTGTCCAGATAGACAAAAACTCATCACGCCACGTCAGTTTGTTCGCCATTCTCGTGCTGACATTCTCCATTGCTGTAACCTCATCATCGGCCCCGTCGCCGCCCTTCCTCGGGTCCCTCAGGTCCCCTCGACAGGCGACGGGAGGGGCCACCTTGGGGGGGGGGGGGCGAGCGTCGCCCCTTCTGCCGCCTGCTTTGGCGCCCTGGGAGGCCGCGCGTCGGCCCCCCCCTCCCTACCCGCCATCCCGCCCTGCCCTGTGTTAGGGTTTGGGGGTGGCAAGAAGGGGGTGACAGGTGTGTGGTCTCCCCTGCTCCTCCTCCTCCTTCGTCTCCCACTGCTGCAGCTGTCGCTGAGGGGGGTGGATGTGTGGGAGCCTGGGGTTTAGGGTTTAAGGGGGGTACTGTGGGAGTGGAGCTAGGGTTTTGAGGGAGGTGGATGTGTGGGCGTCTGGGGTTTCGGGTTTACGGGGGTGCTGTGGGTGTAGGGTTAGGGTTTGAGCAGGAGGTGTGTGAGAGGGGCGTTGGGCAGCTGGGGGAGGTTGCGTGGAGGAAGCAGTCTTGTCGTCAGCAGCACTAGCAGTCCGGAGGCTACAATCTCCGGTAGTCGTCAGTCGCCTGTGGGTCAGTTGCTCGTCTGCCGCTACTTTTAGCCGCGGAGCCAGTTACTCCTGTAGTCCGGGCCTTTGCTTCGGTAGCCACTAAGCCAGCAGCTCGTCTGTGTGTCTGCAGTGTCAGCAGTCGCCTCCCATCTTCTCTCCCCCACAGTCTCTCCTCCTCCTCACTTGCCCTCTGTGATTAGCTCTAGCCTTACTTACCTATTGGGAACTCCTGCTCTATGCCTGCTTGCTCATTGTGCTGATTACACCCCACTTTGGCTATGGGGGTGTGTTAGAATGTTATTGTTCTCTAGCCTGCAGTGGGGTACTCTATAGCGAGTACAACCCCTTAGGGTTTCCTATATGTATCCTGCTGCTTTCTAGTGAACATCCCTCTCTTCTTCATTCTCGTTCTAGTTTTCACACTTGCTGCCCAGGTCCCGCGCCAATCGTTCAGTTGATTTCCAGCTTCTTGTGTCGTCTGCCCACTTCATGAGCACGTCCCCCACCATAATCTCGTGGAAGGCCTCGTCACCTTTTCGCCGCCCGAAAGGGTGCCCGCCATCACGCAGGATATGCCTGTTGAAAAGCACTCGTTCCTTCTCAATGTCCCATCTGCTCCCGACCGTCAGGTTCCGGACGACCGGCGATGACATTGCCGCAGCCGTGATTGCCTTCCAGCGTTCGCTCCCCGTGCCCCATGCCTTTAGCAACGCCTCGTGTGCAAGGAGGGAGGCATAGCACAGCGGGAAATTCGCCGCTCGTTCCGCCAACAGTCGCCGTTGTGGCATCTCCTCCGTAAGCAGTTGCGCCAGCGAGTGAAGCGCCTCTGCGTCCAGGCGGTCTTTGAGATTTGTCACCCCAAGCCCCCCTTCCTTCCGAGCTGCATGAGATCCCCATTCCAGAGAATGAAGCCCGGCTCTGAGCTCGCCCGTCCACCAGAAACGAAAGCGTGACACAGCCTCCTCAGCTCCTCCCATATCGTGTCCGGCGGAGGGTAGATCTGCGCCTGGAACAGCGCGATGGGCATGACATACGCGTTGACCACCGTCACACGCGTTGTGGTGGTGAGAAATTCTGCCTCCCATTTCTTTAGGTCCGCTTCCATCTTGCTCAGCGCCTTCTTCCATGACGGCTTTGCGTCCCCCCCCCGGTGTGATCCAGACCCCCAGCAAGCGCTCCGGGTCATTGCGCGACGCCCATTTAAAGGCTCCGTCCGCTGGCGGTGGTATATCCCGTTGACTCCCCAGCGGCAACACCACTGACTTGTCCCAGTTAACCGCCAACCCTGACACCTGCTCGAACTCCTTGAGCAGCAGTTCAGCCTCCCCCAGCTGCGAGCGACCATTCAGCAGTAGGGTGGTGTCATTGGCATACCCCAGGTAGGTCAGCTTTCCCGCTCCTTTGACGTTAATCTCAAACAGGGTTTGTTTATATCGCATCACCGAACCAAACATTGCTTCACACATGCATCACCTCATCCCATCGCATGCATTTGCGTTTGCGAAGCTTTCTCGAATCTCGTCAACCTCGTGAATTAGGAGGTTACGATACAAACCATGTGGTTCTCGAGATTCGCGCTGGTAAACAGTAGTCTCCGCTTTCTGAGCGCTTGTTACCGCAACAGACCGATTAATACCGTGGCTTTTGTAAACTTGAAGCTTGAAACCACACGGACTGGCGAGAACCCATTACCTACCAATTGCCACACTTAGCCATGTGGTTAGCTCACTCTTACAGGGTTCACCTGGTGAAGTGCGGGATGCTGTGCCTTCACCGTTCCGCGCTGAAGTTCGATTATCACACTAAATTAGTGGATTTTCTCCTACTTCAAGTTCGATTATCACATCAAGTGCTTCGTTCCTTCAGGCTGCGGTCGGCTAGGCTGTCGTTTGACAGGCGTAAAGGTGACGAGACGATCTGTTGTTCCGAATCCTGATGCTCACACATCGACGCATTTTATGGAAAGCACGCGCTGAATTCTCGGACGGCCAAGGCCTGGCCACCTCGTACGATTAGTGTTCACAAGTTGACTGTAAACCAACTTGTGTTATTTTCTTTGACAGGCAGAAGTTTCCTTGTCTTTCGCCATGACATCCACAGTGGCGACCCTGCCGCGGTTCGACTTCGGCTTCGCCTTCCGAGAACCTTCCTTTTCTGACTGCGTCCTTCGCCTTGTGATCGAGCCACATTCAACAGGTACGAGGGTGCCTCTAGGTGTATTTTCCGCCGATTTTAATTCGTCCCAACGTCGAGGCGTACCTTCACTGATTCTATTCGTCTTCACATTTTGAGGAGAAAAGGAGATGTCTCAAGCCTCAGGAATTGACTTGTGGTTCAGCCACTCTCCGCAATAAAGCGTGTATCTAAGCATGTATCTCTACTTACGGATTTGCGTCATTTGTTCCCATGTGATGCCCTCGTGATCTCTCTTCCAGGATTGCATGACATTTCACCTGCAACGGGCTCAGCAAGTCCTGCCAAGGACAGAGAGGAAAACGATAGCTCAGCAGCAGCAGCAGCAACAAAAGTCTCCGAGCTTCTCCAAAAATCAGCGCGTGCTGCTGCAGCTGCTGCTCCTGCCGCTGCCGGCGCCGCTGACCCTCCTGCTGCCGGTGCCTCTCCTCCAGAAACATCTACTGCTGATGCTGCTTCGCGAGCGTCACTCCCCCCTGCTGACCCGGTGACTCGGGACGTGCCAGCAGCGTCAGTGGTTCTGGCGTCCAAGTCCACCTTCTTCCGCGCTCTCTTCACCAGCGGGTTCTGTGAGACTCTCGACCGCCGGCTCGTGCACATCCACCTGTCTGCTCAAGGTATGCGTGCATGGCTTGAGGATTTAAGTGGCACTCACACATTAAGTCGACCTTCTTCCGCGCTCTCTTCACTAGGGGGTTCAGTGAGACACTCGATCGACGGCTCGTGCACATCCACCTGTCTGCCCTTTGAGGCATGCATGGATGGATGGCATGGTGTGGTGCGTTGTGCCGGGCCGTTAACTCGGGACGTGCCAGCAGCGTTGGTGTGGTGTGATATGGTGTGGCGTGGCGTGGTACGTTGCGGTATGGTGTACAAGGTTTACGCTGTGGTACACAAGATTCCATGCATTCCTGTCCGGACGACGCTCGGGCTAAAATACACATCACCTTGAGGAACGGCCCTGTGCGTCGCCCAATCAGAGATGCATGGAATCTTGTGAACCACACCACACCACCTCACACCACACCAAACCAACCACACCACACTACACTAGACATGAGCAACGGGCGAACACCAAACGTGTTTGCCCGAACAGTATAATTGGGCGAACCGAACTTCACATTTTGCATGTTCGGTGTTTGGTTAGAGTGGGCGAACATGTTTAATGTTCTCTGAACCTCCACATGTTCGGCCAATTCCGAACATGTTTGGTGTTCGAAAATAAGGACTTCGCAGATTCTCTGAGTTAGCAGATTTCACCACTCCTGTTTCATGACTTTAAGTACAACAACACCTGCCCATACACGTTTAGGGGGTGGGGAACACGGGGGGAGAGGGCAGGGCGAGTGGGAAGAACGTAAGTTACTTTGAAAAACGACCAAATAACGACTAATTAAGCTAAGTTACCTAAAGTAACCGTTAAGTTGGGTGGAAATGGGCTGGAAATGAGCCTACTACTCCTTACTGCTGTGAACTCAACCCAAAAAGGTAGATCGAGGTCGAAATGACCTCGATCTATGGTTTCCGTAGGACTTACATCCAACCAGCGCGAGAAATGTTGCGCTGGTTTTTTTCCAAACATCTAATGTTCGGAAAAGCGGGGACAGTTCTTGAACATGTTTGGTGTTCGGGAATTGTTCCCATAAACTTTTCGAACACCGAACATGTTCAAGACGAACCCCGAACATGTTCGGGCGAACCTTATTTCCAAAAAAGAAGGTTCGAACCTGTTTGAGGTTTTGGAAAAGTGCTCATGTCTACACTACACCACTCCATACCACATTACACCTTACCACACATAAAAATCAAAAGGTGCAAGAACCTAGAACAATCAAGTTCGCTGAATGGTGTGGTTTGGCACACACCAAATGGTCCTTCTCAGGAGCCTCTTATGATATATTTTTTTATCATTCTCTTCTTCTCTCCCCATTATCTTCCAACCCAGAGGAGCCGCTGATGATGGAGCTGCTGCAGTTCATCTACCAGGGCACGCTGCCCTCCGATACAGTCACATCCTTTGAGCGCACACTGCAGCTGCTCCTGCTGGCAGACCGTTTTGGAGTGGACGAGGGCATCGCCACCTGCTCCTCCCTCCTCACCTCCCTCACCTCCCTCCCTCCCCACCCCTCCTCCTCCTCCTCTGTCCCCTCTTTCCCTGCCTCTGCCTCTGCTTCCTCCACTGCTCCACCGTCCGTCCCACCCAACAGCACCATTTCTGCCGCCACAGCAACCCTATCTCAGCCAACAAACCCTCCGACCCCATACATCGCCACCACCTCTACCACCACCACCTCCTCTTCCTCTTCCTCCTCCTCCTCTTCCTCCGCCGCCCACACTCCCTCCTCCCTCACCACTCAGCAGGCGCTACTCGCACTCTCTCTCCCGCCATCTCTCCGCCTCAACCCACTCCTCACGCCCCTCATCCATGCCTCCCAGGCTTGCGTTGTGCACCGCTATGGACCGCTCTTCAACTCCTTCCACCCCAGCACCCTTCTTTGCAACACCCTTCATCCCAACTCCCTTCATACCTCCTCCCTGCAGTCCAACGCTGTTCACCAAAACCACCTTCACCGCATCACCCTTCACTCCACCAACCCCCACCCGAGCCACCCCGCCTCTGCAAACGAGCTGCTCACTCTTCCTGAGGCTGGCATAAGAGCCCTCCTAGAGTCCGACGAACTACCCGTGGATTTTGAAGAGTCTGTCTTTTGCGCCCTCATCCTTTGGGCCCGGCACAGATTCCCGGGCGGCGAACTGGATTCTCGAGAAGAACAGAATCCAGCTGGCGAAGTGGGTCCGGGCGGCGAAGTGGGGTTCTGTGGGCAGCACGCGCGCGCAGGGGCAGGGGTGGCGGAGAGGAGGGCGGCAGTGGGGAGGCTGGTGAGGGAGGTGCGATGGGCGTGGGTGGGGGCTGGTTTTGTGCGGTCGGTGGTGGTAGGGTTGGAGGAGATGCAGAGTGAGGAGGCGAGGGCGGTAGTACTGGAAGGGCTATTTTCTGCTGCTCAAAGGGGGGATGCTTATAGGGGGGATACGAGCTCTGGTGTGAGTGCTCAGCACTCGTGGTTAATATCACCACCACCGTCATTGTTCCTTCCGCTTGGCGGTTCACTTCCTCCTCTTTCTCTTCTTCCTCCTCTTCCTCCTCTTCTTCCTCCTCCTGTTGGCTTATCTTCTGGCGCCACTTACACCACACCTCCTGCTTTCGCTAGCACGACAAGCTCCACCATTCCCTCTTCCTCCTCCGCTTCCTCCTCGCCCTATGCTTCCTCCTTCCACACACATTCCTCCCTTTCCACCTCCACTTCCCACCAACACTCACAATCTTCACTCATCCTTCCTCCTTCACCCAACCCCTACTATTGGTCATCCCCTTCACTCAACCCCCCCTCTTACTCTCCTTCCCCCGCCTCCAATTCCTGGTCTCGCCCCCGCAACTCCTACCGCCCGCCACGCAAGTCCCTCTTCCTAGAAATCCCCTTCAGCCAGTGCCAGGGCTGGACCCCATCCGTCTCCTTCCAGGCAACTTCTGGCCTGTTCTGCATTGCCGGTCGCTGGTTCACACTCAACGCGAAGCTGGAGTGTCAGAAGGAACTCGGCCCAAGATTCGGGTTGTTTCTCCGCTTAGATAAGCACGCCACTTTCCCAGGCGTTGCTGCTGAGAGTGTGAACTGCCAGTACCGGTTCTGTGTGAAAATGGATCTGGGGGGGAGAGCTGATGGGGAGAGTTGCGTTGGTGGTGGTAATGCTGTGAATGGTACTGCTGCTCCTGGTTCCACTGCTGCTGTTGTCCAAGCTGCTGCTGCAGCAACCAGTGCACCTGGGCTTAGTTCGCATAGGAGCGAATCAGCAGCTGCTGCTTTTGCTCCTGCTGCTCCCAGTGCTGATGCTGGCGGGATGGGGGTTAGCAGTGTCAGTGGTTCAGTGGGGTACTGCGTGGTGAAGTCTCGCAGTGGATGTGTTTTCTCAGAGCCATACCATGGGTGGGGATCAAGGGACCTGTTTAAGAAACCATGGGATGAGGTTCTTGCGGCTCCTGATGTGTTCTTTCCTGAAGGTGCCATGCATTTTCGGGCAGACATTTGGATTCACTAGTGCCTTGTGTCCTCAAAGTGCATGTATCTTCAACGCCGTATCTATTTGTTGAATGTTTGCCGATTAGCCCTGAACCGTATTTCTGTTAGGAGCAAAGGCTCAGGAGTAGAAATCAATGTTATTGGCTGGTACAATGCGCAATTCCATGGCTGGT